TAAACTTTTACCAGGTCTATTATCTGTATCGCTTTATTTATTGGTTCATCAGAACTACATATCTCGTCGGTGATTAACTGACAGGCCTGTGTATTTATTTTTAACTTGATGGACTTAAATGGAAATTTTAGAAAGATGGACGAGATCATACAAAGGGTACATAGAAAGATCATACAATCACCGTCACTGATTGTATTGCAATATTAAGTCACAAATATTGTTTGTGAGATAATCAAATATTGGTACATGATGAATACAGTAGTATTATTGCTGTATCCCAATTTCAATTTACAGAAATTTCTAAGCCAACATGTCCATGCATCACTTAAATATTCTTCTTAGCTGTAAAAAACAACACTTAAGATCTAAAACGTCTAGAAAAGAACCATCGATAGCCTTTCCAAATTAAAGTTCGTTTAAGAAAGCATACAGTGTTTTATTCTAATGCTTTTAAAGGTAATATATTATTACCGGTATTAATTTACCGCATAGAACCTTCAAAATTGTTAGAACCGCAGTTATGCTTGTCAATAGTTATTTCCAAAGCAATTTGTGTTATGATAGAAAGAATGACTGATGTGAGTTAGTTATCAGACTACTGATAAAACTCGAGGTCACAACAATCAGTCCTGGTATAGTTTTAAGTCCTTGTAGGTAAAACCAAACCTGTCACGTAGTAATCCTACCAATTAAACTTATCATCCTATTTTACTCGTGAGGCCTTTTTGATGTAAGCTTGGTTAACATTTGGAGTGTGTGATAATATTTTTGCAGAGATATTGAAGAGTAACTAGTACTTTACGAATTAGTCGTTGTAGTTAGCAGTGGCAATATTAAAACCAGTAAAAAATATAGAAAGAATTGGCGCAAACAAGTGTTATGAATACAAACGTACGTGTAAATTGTCTTCAGCCGATCCGTAGGGGTGATATAAGGGAGTGTTTTTTTCTAAACTGATATTGTTTACGGATTATAACAGGATCCTGGTAATTCTTTTAACTAAAATATGCCAATTTTATAACGTACTGTCTAGTCATAAGATTGATTTAATCTATATCCACTACTTTTGAATATTTTATATTTGAGTCCGTAGTTATGAAAGTGGGAGGCTATAGTCGTCCAATGGAATAGTGTATAAGGACTTTGAAGGCAGCTTGAAAATAGCTTTGTTGATTAAACAACTATATTATGCTACGAATAATAGCATAGTTAAAATGGACATCCTGTATACGCATACGATTACTATCGTCCTACTCGCCAGTTTTCCTTGGTCCAGAACCTTGATATCCTTTCGTTGACGATAAACGCGGCTCCTACACACACAGACCAGAATGTACATACAGCTGTGTTTACCCATGCAACTTAACAGTGTTTTCATAGAGGAGCTACGTATAAAATTGGACTGTAACAAATGTCTGTCAGTAAAATTTGTATTTTAGATGTAGAAAATGCTAAATGACTTGATTTACTGAAATGGAAAATCTCAGAAATTGTGGAGGAATCAAAATTTCATTTTCAAAACTTCACGAATTAACTGTATTAGGCCCTATCTAATAATTATGACGTAATCCGGTGTGAATAGACGTTAACACGATTTTTTGCTATGTTGTTGTAAAAATAATAAAAAAATTATAATATCCTTAGAAAAGTTTAACTCATATCATAATTCATACATCTGGTAGATGTAGGAACGGTTCAACAAGTTATATCAGGGCACTATTTTTTTAGTCCGAATTCTCGGTCGTATCAATCAATGTTATGTAAGTAACATTTCTGATGTTTTATCCAAAATCAATCTGTAAAATTATAAAAATAGTAAACGTAAAAACTGTAAAAATATACATACAAACCCCCTCACAATCCGCTTGTGAAACTTTCCTAGGTTAGTTAAGGGGCTTATAACTTAAGTAATTGAAGTTTAATTCTACATTTGACTTGTTATTAGCTCACCGATCAACAGCTGATCGAAAATGTATAACTTTTATATTGAATGTTGCATCTTTTTAGATCGTTTGTTTAGTATAACATCGGGATTATGAATAATACAATTAATACAAATTGTAACGATGCATTTGAGGAATCAAACTTAGAACACTTTCACATCTGTTTTTCCATGTCCCTTTTTGAATGTTGTTTTCATTGTGTTATTTAAACAAAGTATTCCTTATTGTTGCTTACTTTATGTTTTATTTTGAGCAGATTTATGTCACACCATTGACACATTCCAAAGTCAACAACAAATTAGCAACATCTCGATAGCTGTATAAACAACCTTGAAGGTCGACATGGCCTGATCTAATAAAAACACGCTGTCACAGGGCTCCAATAGCCTCGATGGTTGAGTTGGATATTGTATGTATCTAGGTTAAATTTATCAAAACTTTTTTTGTATGTCATAAACTAAACTGCTCACTATGATTCAACATCGATAAATTGAATTCGCTTTTCCATCTGAGTTCATATCCTGAATGTATTTTATATGAACAGAAAGTCCTCGATCCAGTGATGCAATTCACAAAAACAAAAAAACTACAAGACGCCTTATTATAAGCTATTCGAACCAACGCTCGTGGCTAATCGTTTGATACCAACGGTTTGCAAAATGATGCCACAAATTGTAATATTTGTGTTATTCATGGCAGTAGCTTGCTAAGTCTGTGTACCCGATGAATCAATGTTTATAACACTCGAAGTAGGTTTTCATGTGAATGTACGAATTTGATTGAGACCTGTTTGTGGGGACACGGATATTTTACTGATATATTAGGGATTTTTGAAATTACTGCCACTTTGTTAGTGAAATACATTTCATGTTGCAATAGACCCAATAACTGACATCTTTCCACACGGTGGTTTGAGAGTTTACACGAACAACATTCGCAAATAATGTTCACAAGGTGCAGGAACCAACGAATAAATACTAGAATGACACCACTGCAGTCTGTTAACATTTTATTTTGCCAAGAATTCAGTGTTTTAAACAGCAAACTTCACCAACACCGTAGATGCGGTTTAACCACGAAACAATGACCTAGTAGCGGAATAGTGGCACAAGGGTGTTTCGACACCGAGTGAAAGGCCAACCAGACATTATATTTGCTAAGTAGTTACAATCCGCATAAAAATGCTTTTGAGTAAATTACAAGAGTAACAAACAGTCACTAGAAGTGAGGAAACGGGGTCACGTGTATGTGGGAAGAGAAAGCAGACAGAGACAGACAGCTTTCCATTCATTCGCACTTGCCATAACCTCCTCACCCCGAGCCTCGGTAGTTCATAGGACATTCGGTTGTAAAATGCAGATGTAGTCACAATATGATGGGTAATTGCAGACTAGAAGTGTCATTCTTGTGTATGTTTGGGTAGTTTTTGCAAGCTTAAGCTTTGTTACCAAAATACGTAAAGAGGTGCATGGGTCCGATAAGATGCAACTATACAGTACAGTATCGGCACGATATGTATTTTTAGTGAGATAAACTAGATGACAACGGACAATCAGAGGTTAAAACCTTAACTATTGTGTGTATAACGCTTTAAGATAGTTGTGTCGACGATCATCGCAAAGTAATTTTCCAATGATACGTGATCTACTTGTTTTAGTTTAGGTGCTCTTCCACGTCAAAATGGTTGTGACAAATAACCATACAACACGTTCCCTCTGACTGCAAGAGAAGAAAATGACATTTAACTCCTTTGCTAAGTCGCAGCAGTTAGAATGAAATTTAACGTAGTTCAATTCAATCAACAACAGAATGTCGAGTGCTGATTTCTGTCGTATACACCTGATTTCACTGACAATTTAACCAAGCAAAAACTATGGTGCTGAACCATGGTGAATTTGAATGAAAAATTAGCTACAGCTGCTTCATATAGGTGGTAATTTCACAAACAATTTGGAAGATTTACCGTATTTAGCTTCAAGAAACAGTTTTAAAAGCAGCTGCACCTTCTATATTCTTTGTTGCTGAAAATGCAAGGTTCATGATATGGCTTTTAACTAACCCTCTATATAATAACGTGTTGGTTCATGCATCGGTGTTATCAAGGAAAAATTATTGTTTCATAATAAAACTATGGTGTAGACAATTGACAACGCAAATTCTGTTTTTTCCCATTCCAGACAAGAATCTCAAATGGCGTCCCTTATATACTATTGGCTACCGGAAGTACGGCCCAAAAAGTGTCTATAAGTAGCATACAACTGGAGTCAAAATCACTTGTTCATTAATTAGCTTATTTATATCTTTAAATTGTTCCCTGTAAATATAGAATTATTCCCAAGCATTGATCAAATTTCCTTTCTTAAAATTCTTTAAAATACATACATTGTCTTCCATTTCCTCTAATGAGGACTAATGTAACAGGTGTTGTGCTACATTTTATCTTTCCGGTTTGTTGTTTCTCCATGCAGAGACATTGTTTTTAAAACGTTTAACAAAGTTTACAGTTTGTCCTATGTAAAAGCTATCACAATCGTTGCAATTTTTTTAGAGTTGCTTAGAGTGTATCATTTATTGATGTCGGTGATCCCATCTTTGAGCAGTTTTATATGTATATGTACGTAATAGAACATCCCAAACAGGTCTTTGACCTAGGGATGAATTGTTTCGGCGTTAAATAATTAAATAATTGATTTTTTAGATCCCCGAAGCGTCAAATTTGTTATATTCTTATATTAACTATCACATTTAATACAAATTTTGTGGATGTAATATTTTACTCAAGGTGTTCTGAGTCTTGAAGGCTATCAATACTCCATGTTTCTTGAATGTGTTAGCGATTAAAGGATCGATGGACACAAAGGTGTCCTAGGTCCCGTGTAACTAAATGTAGCTTATCTGGGGTTTTTTTGTAAGAAAAAACACACTGATTTCTTAGTGGCAATAATCTATAACTGATTTATTTGAGAATGATCCCCAAATTTCCAACGCTCATTAAAACCTATAGGTTATTATCGACTTAATTCGATGGGAAATTCATTTTTTTCGTTTTTGTTTCAGATGACCAACAGCTGTACTATATCATCGTACTTCTCATCTTTTCTGAACTTCTTAGTCTTGGCTCCAGCTGGCTCCTATAATCTTTCAGGTTTTCAAAAGAAAAGTCAGCTCAAACCATTTAACACAGTAAATATATTTCTCTGCGTCCTATACGCTATAAAATGAATTTTTTAAACTTTGAATATATTTATGTATAGTCAATTTATTGCCCATGTATAATTAATAGCTCATACATTTCGATTACATGACATTAAATCGAATATTTAGTTTTAGACTATGTATAAAACTAGGTAAATATATATTATTGTTGTCTCTTGGGTTGTGACCACTGTCTATTCAGAAAATGCATATAGAACTGAATAATGACATTTTGTACTCAAACGTTGAAGATCTATCTTAGAAAGTTGTTTTCTTCACTTAAACCGTATCGATAAGGTCTTGTTATCTATTGTACAGTAACATGTAAAAATTGTTATTAGTTATGATTGGAATGTATTATACGAATGTTACTTTTTTATCCGCTTCTATGCTATGATCATGTTTCTTTCATTGTATTAGTGTTATCAAATTGACTCTTAGGTTTTAACATTTATCGTACAGTAATAATGATATAGGTTAGAATGTGATAAATATAGTATCATCGCTATATTATGTAGTTGATATGAAGAGTTTTAAAGAGGATATTATACTTTTAAATGTTATTCGAGAGATTTTAAGACTCTCGTCATACAGTACGTTCAATAGAACGTATGCAGTGCGTGGCGCAGGCGCTGTCAATGTGCCCGCGCAAAGCTCTGGCGGGGTGGGACTATCTGCTTCTTTACCAATTTTTCAATATAAAGAGTGTAAAGATATGTTTCCGTATAAAGTATTATTCAATAAATGTATTCACTAATGTATCGTATGATCTTTAAAGTGATTCATTTACTTGCAACAACAAATCAAATATGGGTTATCGTGTACGGTTGTCACACATTTCACAGTTATGTAGTTATCTTTAGAAAAATTGATGATGGATAATACTATTTCAACACTAATTTTCCGTTCTACAGTGTAATTTCAAGGTCGAGCATTTGCAATTTTGAGACACTCTGTGCATTTATAACCCAAATTATCGAATATTCCGCGCTATGAAAATGTTCAATCGAGTCCAAAATATTTTCAGTGGTCATAGAAAATCAACAATACATGCTAATTCGATCAGTAATTTGTGGGATTTAACATACTTAACTGTATTCAAACTGAAACAAGACCCTTGATTTTATAATTTCCGAACAACTTTATGGATGCTTACTCTTGTAAATGAAATACCCACATCCGATGTTAATTAGATTTTTCTGCTACTACATAATGGGTTGACATTGGCCATGGAATTTAACTTTTTCCCCCATTTTCCCTTTTAACCAAGTCAACATTTTCTACTTGGTGTCTACACAACACTTTTCATATGTGATATGTTTCTATAAAGCATACAAGTACGCCTGTTGTGATTGCCAACTCGTCGATTCAAGTTTTCAATCTGAAAGAAACCATCATTTTGTATCCCGTTTAATTTTCACGTAAGAGGTAGGCATCCATCAGGTTACAATTTCTAGTCTCCATAGCCCCGAACCAAAGTTTTGTACGAGAGGTGCTAGGTACTCATCTGTCATTGCTCAAATAAGCGATGTACCATTTTATACTAGAAGTAAGCTTATATCTAACTCGAGTGTAGAGGTGGCCCTGTGCCTCCAGTGCCATTGTATGAAGATTCGCATCATATTCGGCTTGTAGGAGAATGTGTTTTAGATTTGTACATAGTATAATCGAATCATTGTATTTCGTGGATTGAAGATGTTATGTCTTACGAAAGAAGGCAGTTTACCTTTGTATTTAGAGGTTGTTACTTTATCGTAGTTGAATTGCAAGATCGAATAGGAATATGAATCGAACTTACCTTTGACTTGTCAAGAATGTGGAGATTGCATTTGAATATATATAATGATTATCATCAGATATGCAATATGTCTATAGCGTGTATAGCATAAATTCTATAACAAAATAATTGAGCTATTATTTCTGTTATGATAACCAATAAATTTATTATATAAAACGAGGTTTTATTATTGATATACCCTCTATTTCTTATCATTTGTATCTTTATAAAAACCAAAATGTTATGCTTCCTGCCTTCATGTTTGCAAGGCATTTAAGTTCAAAATGGCTCCCAAGACATCAAGGTTGTGGACTACATTTTATCTTCCAGGAGAGATCTTATGGTAACTATGACACAGTTCATCTAGAGCTATACCTCTAGCAAACCGGGAGTGCCGATGGAGACCTGTGGGGGTGCGTGCGTTTGAAGGGACTTGACCTGGTCTCCATCGGCACTCCCGTTTTGCTAACACTGTATGTATACTTTGCAACAAGAAAAAACAATCAAAGAAGGGTTCTTCTATCAGTTGAATATGGCCTTCCTTCAACCCTCAGACAAAATAAAGGCAAACCCTAACGGATGGCCTTAAGGAGTGAGTAGAAGTTTAATTGAATACAAACTGTAAATTACAAAACCTCCTTATAGTTCCAAGAAGCAGTAACGCTGAAATGAAACCTGAACCAACAACTGTTATGATCGCTTCGTTTCTTACAACGGGTTTAATGACCATTTGGATTCAATATAGCGTGGTAAAAGGGTTTGAAGATTAATGGCATTTTGAGAACGTTCGTGCCTTACGTTCCATCTGCGAGCAGGCATAAAATTAAACGGCCATTGGTTGGAGAAAAAAAATCGTCTGGCTTCGTTTAGAAACTCCAAATCTAAAAATCACACAGCAACAGCCAAACATTATTTAGCGTTTACGTAGTTTATTTATGTTACGTGTTTATTTTTGATCATTGTTATTTTTATGTTACCGTTTTACTGAGTTTTACAATTCTGGCTTCATATAAATATAAATAAACAAAGTTGCTAGAATTATTCGTAACACTGTTTGACCTTTGGGAAGAGGAGGAGTTTTGAATTACTATCAAGGTCTTCATGAAAATTGGGCATTTCCATGTTTTAAGGGTAAATATAAAAAAATATATATACAAAATTTAAAAAGCACAAAGTATTCCGTTCCCAAAGTGGCCCGATCTTGCTGGTTCGCGAACTCAATCAAATTTATCCCGCCCTACACCTTCAAGCCAAATTCCATCAATATCGTGCCAAAATTACTCGAGTTATCGCGTTCACTGACATATATATATATATTCATAACAATTTGAACGTTAGTGTTTTTGGCCTCTGGGGACATCAAAATGAAAAAGTAAATCGGTCCCGGGCCTAAGCCCTACCGTGCCATCTACGGTAATAGTTACTTCGCTATAGGGAAATTAGTTAAAATAAATACATTTGATACTTTATACGTAGATTCCTCTGAGCTCTTTTGAAATGGAGGCTTATTTTTACATACTTAACCACTTGATGGTATGCATTCTGTCTTGGCAAAATTTATTTAATTAACTGTGAGGGAATACATATAATTTTGGCATTTTTTTGGGCCGTAGGATGTTTTAGCACAAAACAGAATTACTAATTGAGATCTCTTTGGGATAGATTGATAATAACAAAGGTAAAATTTAAATTTATTTGCTATAAATTATTGTGTAAGAATGCACAAACGCTGGAATTCTAATTGCAGATATGCGAATCAGGTTTCTTAATGAATGTTTTGCAACGATTAAGGTATGTTGAATCTACAATGGTGATGATTGGGTCAACCTTTGATATTTTATTTCACCTATTGAAGACAAGTCAACAATGGACAAATTAACGTCAACGAATTACATTCAACAACATACACTGTTTGTTAAGTACTTTTCCTACCAAGATTATTTTGTTTTGTTGACATTACCTTTTTGTATTTAAAGTACTCAATATAGCAACTGGTTTTCAGCATATTATTTTATTAGATTACATAATACATAATCCCACTAAACCACACACTTCTCCATTTCCAGGTTAAAACAACCAGCACTATTGAGACTAATGCTGAAAGTCATGGCAAACACACAATTCACATCTTTGTTTTCAGCCCATTGATAGCGGACCAAGCCTTGATTTTTGTACGATGACATCAGGGACTCTGATGTAATAGTTATGCATCAATAGATACACAATATCAATAACATACTTGGATTTCAAAGTTGTATCAGTCAACCATACTAGAAACTAGTTTGTTGGTGCAAAACCTTGCGAAACAACATAATACAAGTGTAACAGTTGATATGTTTTACTTATAATTTCACCATACAATAAATCTTATCTTCAACATTACATATCTAACAACTATACCTATTAACCACGGACCATAAAAAAGTAAGTATTTCCATTGAAGGCTGTGGTGAAATAAATTTAAAAAATATATATATTGATATTATTTAAATTTGTAGGAATTATTTTTCGTTTATACACAAACGTATGTTTTTTCTTGTGCAATATATTATTTTATTTCTTTACGAAAATATAAAATGACTGGTATGTTTTCTGTAGAAGTAAGTGGAAGGAGGGTTGAGAAGATTCGTCAAGACATAAATAGGATATGCACATTTTAGATTTAAAAATGTTGTCATGCCCAAAGAAACACAAAATGTGAGTAAAACAAATTTACAATTGAATTTTTAAGGAGATTAGAAACACGCTAAAACAAAAAGAATATAAATTGATCGAAAGAAAAATTATAATTCAGCTAAGTTAAAAAACTGATTTATTTTCTAAACATCAATGCATTTGATTTAGACAATGGCGATTCAATTCCAAAGAAACGCGATTTAACACAGAACGATCCCCGAATGAGCCCCAAACTCTGTCCTGATGATTACGCAGACTCAAGTCATCACGTCACATTCTATAAACAGCTGTGAACATCGTACACCGCAACTTAGAGTAACTTAGAGTCATCAGAAGTGTTGTACAAGAGTATTATTGAATATTATGTTGAACAGTGAAAACCTTTTCTACATCAGGCTATGAAGTCATCTAGTCGATTGCAAAGAATAATTCGATTAAGTAGTTCATCTAACTTGGTGGTGGACTTGCTTTTATACATGATAACTTTGTAGGTGAAAAAATCACATGCAAACAACGAATATTTTTAAGTTGGAATACGTTTAACGAATACACGGCTTAGACGAGTTTACAAACTACATTTATTTGTTTGTTATTATTAATTATTTTAACGCTCAAAGTTCTTACAAATTAAAGTTGCAGGAGAAATTTCTCCAATAAACTTCCCTTTGGGTCTACACATAGTGCATGTGTTAATAGAGAAAATGTGCCTTAAGCGTATACTTAGCAAATCGTAAAAAGTTGTTAAAGCTTGTCAGCAGTTGCTGAGCAGTGTCAGTATGGCGAACAGTTAGCACAAACATGAGCCTGTTAACACATTTTGACCGGCCTAGAGACAATTCAGAGTAACCAAATAAAAAACACTTAACAAAACAAAAACAAACCTGCAGACTAAGCGAGTTTCCAATTTGTCTAATTGGATATTTACAAAAAAAATCTCCTTAAACATGTCAGATTTATTTCCTTTCTGAATAATATCAAGATCAACAATTATTTATTTGCTGCTACAGGGACGGTAATAAAGTGTGTTTTAGTGAAATATTAGTAGCTTATTCTGAAATAAAATTAATGATATCAGCAAACTGAACCATACTTTCTCCCCATTAGCTTGTCACAAACCTCTTATAATGGATAAAAGTCCCACAGTTTATTTAAGTAACTGCCGTACTGTATTATAAAAAAATAAAATAAAAAATATAGAAATAATATAATGTAAAATATAATATAATGTAAACATATAATATAGAAAGTTTATATTTTAAACACACCACATGAACAACCCTTTGGAATTTTTATTTTAAACAGAGCAGACATCAAAATGCATTAGGCAGGAAAAATAACTATTATACATATTATAATATACAAAAATGTTAGACGATGATACAAGGTAGGGTAACTCATGATACTAATAATTTGTACAAAATAATTACTAGTACAAGCCACTAGTATCTTAGTAATGTAATAGATACAATTTGCTTTCCATTTTTTATAATCACCGGATAGTTTATTACGCATAGTAATACATCCACTGCACGGGATTTTGAAGAAGGGATGAGTCAACCAAACGTTGCAGGGATTTCATTTCTCCAACAAAGCAAGAAGAAACCCGTTCGTCATCATGGGATTGAATCCCAGATATACTATACTTTTACCATTATGCAGGTACAGTAAATCAACATTGTATTTTATAGAAAGCAGCCATATCATATAATAGTGTATATCATAAGGTGTAGTATATGATATAGTAAAGTATATCATATATTACCTTTATATTGCCTTTATTACATGAGCTTTAATTGTGAAATTGTATCATAGATGAAGTAATATTACTTCATCTATGATTGTATACTTCAATATCAACATTCAAAATTCAATCAAACATTTAAAATGTAATTATTAATTATGTTTTACTTTGTAACTGGGCACACTACTTGAATAAGTGGCCAGTTTAAATGTCTCAACAATTATTATGATTGGGCTGTGCTTAGTAATATGAAAAAAAATTGTTTACTCTTTACATAAAAAAAATAAGATAGTCTTTACAGGCGATTAGAACTTTCGCTGTTCTTTAGAACCTTCTCCACTCAACCCATTGGTTAATTTTAAAATCTGTTACGTATAAAAGTAATTTATGTGTAAACCAGATCTACTGAGTTTTGAATTAATTCTAGATAACACTACTTAATAACATATACAAGTCATTGCCCAGAAATTTTAATTTACATAAGAGTAGTATACGTGTTGTGTTTTTATAGATAATTAATATTGAATTTTAATTATTTTTTAGTCCGTGACAAGTTTTAACGTGAATTGATCAGAAAGTCGTAGTATATCTCGAATATATTAATTGAAGCACATTAGGCCTATGAATATTGACTGCTGATGGTGCAAGCTACCCCAGGCCGATTGTTTTGTGTCTTGTGTATATTGTCTTGTGTCCTGAATCTTGAGATCCTCAACCGCCACGCCACTACAGGTGGACCGGTCCCACATTCCTCAAACTG